CATTAGAAAAAATAAAAACTAAAAATGTTAATTTTATTAATTTTATTATAATACCAAAATATAAAAATATAAAAATAATCCCACCCCATAAAAAAATATTCAAAATTTTAATGAATTTTTTTTAGCATCCTTTTAATCTCCAAATCAAATATTCAAAATTAAATCTCACACCCTATCTGTGAAAAAGTTCCTGCTACAAGGGTGTGTTTGATTTGGTTATAATTTTTATTTATACAGTTAGCAAAACATTAGTTTATAAATTAATTTTAAATTAATATTAATTATTAATTATTAATTATTTTTAAAAATCAAATTAAATAAAAGGCAATTATTATATTTTGTCAACAATTTAATTGACTAATAATAGTTAAACAAATAAACAATAATAAAAAAATAAATATCCTTTTTATTCACCAAAACTTGAACAAATTAATATACAAACTTAGTTGTGATAATATGTCAAATTATTACGAAACAATTGTATAGAAAACACCTCTCTATATGTGTGAGCAAAATTAAACCAACAGTCTCGGTTAACATCCATTTTTTTTCTTTAATTATAAGCATAGTTTTGAAAATCAGACAGAATCGATAGGTTGAATCAATACCAGTAGTAGAATCGGTTGGTTGAATCAGTGTCAGTAGTATAAATGATTCAAGTACTCCTCCGAAACCATTAAATCGTTTGACCGAACAATTTAATGCTTAGGCAAAAGTCTTGAGAAATTTGTCTCTCGTGGGGTTCAAACATTCAACCTTGAAACCCTTACTTCAACCTTGACTCCTAACTTCACCTTTAGGCAAAGAATTTTTTTTTTTTTTTGAACTAAGGAAATTGGGGGTTTGAAACCACACACCAGAGTTCCTTTGGGCAAAGAAATTAATTCAACCTGACTGAAGGAAATTAATGCGATTTGATTATTTTGATAAAGTAGAAATGCGACTTCTTGTAATTTTGCCAAAGAAAGTTTCGGACTGTAAACTAAAATTTATTAATTTTCTATATATATATATATAAATATATAAATAATTTAGTTGCACTTGACCGGGCCAATAACTAGTGTCATTGAAAAAATAAATATTTTTATCTCTTTGACAGGTTTCGAACTCACCCATGACAAAAAGTTCAAAAAAATATATATATAAATAATTTACTTATGATACCAATCCAGAGTACGTTTATATATATATATGTTCGAGCATGCAATATTATTTTAGATTTTTTTTGGTAGATTTATATAAATAATTTCACATATGGTCAAAGGGTATACAATATTGTCTGATGTCATAAAATCTCCTAAAAAATGTGTCATGCCTTTAACTTTAAGTGTATTTGGTTAGAACTAAATTTTTTTGAAAAGGTTTTTCTTGAGAAAATATTATAATTTATATGGAAAAAAGAATAAATTTTATAGTAAAATTTTATTAATGTATTAATTTTTTATATTTTATAAAAAATTGATATATAAAAATTG